GGGGAAGCGACCGTTGGGCCGGGAGATGCGCTGGGCGCCATGTTGGCCCGGCGGGCCGCCATGTTGGCGCGGGCGAGCCCGCTCGCCGCCGCACCGAGAGCGAAGGGCCGTGGCTGCAGAGCGCGGAGGGCAGCGACTGCCCTTCCCGCCCGCCGCCGCGGAGCCCTGCGGCGCTTTGGAGCGCGGCCTCCGAGGGAACGCGCCCCTGTAAGTGGTTAGCGCCCAAGGGTAGGGAGGGCAGCGCCACGCGCCCTGCGTGGAAGTGGGGCCTGGAGCCTGCGCACGGCCTTGGTAGAGAGCAACAAGGGTGGGACCGAGGAAAACACGCGCCAATAGGCAGTCACGTCAAGTAGATATTTCCTTTTAAGGGTAAATWCTCATCTCTGTGGCCCACGTTAGGTTGTGGAAAGGCAACTTGCAATACATAAAGACCACCAGGTAAATATAATTTTATTGCAGCAGTTGGTATCCAGTGCAACACACAGGTAGATCTGTAGAAGTTTAAAGGATAACGTAGCTTAGACTTAAACTAAACCTCTTTGTATGTAGGACTTTCATGTCTTAAACTGGTAAATGCTGAGTAACAGTTGTAATACAAAGTGCACTGCTAAGGTAAACGAGTACAGCTAGTCTCATCTCTCCAAATGAATTTAAAAAAACAATGCATAGGCTTGGCTGATTGCAGCGTTTCCCTCTTCTTTTTTGCAAGTCCTGAATATCTGGTAAGCATACAAGATTTTTTAAGCACATACAACGTTTTTGGCCAAAAGTTACAAAAGGTCAGCGATCTAAATGATATGACATCTCTGCAAATTTGTTTAAAATAAGACATATTGATTGGTGGCACTTTTACAGTGGTGTACACATGCATTATTACCCTTTTTTTTTTTTTATTTCTGGAATGAAAACAGCCATTCCCTTCTGAGTAGGGTACCAGTTGGTAATGAATTAAATACTGTTTTGTTTTAAAACTATGTAGAATTCATATATATATATATATATATATATTTCAAAAAAGATCACGACTATAAGAACTCTCAGAAATGCCAGCACCTTGTGTGCATTGCTGTTAACACAGTCATGGACATAAGCATATTGTTTTTCTACCAAAGCATGGGTTGACCTTACTAATCCAGCACTGTAGAAGCAAAAATTAGTAGATACACTGAGAAGTAAAAACACTTAAGTAGCAGGTAAAGCAAGTTCTTCATGTTGGATGTGGGCAGAATGGACGTTTAGAAGCRGATATTGCAGGTCTCTAATGAACACACTGGGCAGCTGAAAAATGCGGTGTATGGCCTGCTTTGAGACAAAGGAACTTCCATGCTAGCTCAGGGAATATGAAACTGTCCTGTAAATTTCAGAGCTGCACCCACGGTGATACCTATGAACACTTGCTACACTGCATTGTGTGTTCAGTTCTGTGTCTTACCTTCACCTGAAAACCAAACTAAAAAGGTAAAAATCATTTTTGCCATAGCAACACTTGCCCTTGGTGAAGCTGAATGCTTCGCATCCCTTGGATCTTGATAGAGAAATAAGGACAAGCGTCTTCAAACAAGTCTTTGCTGTCTTCAGAAYGCCTCCAAGGTGTCTCATGACCGTAATTGTATCATGAACAACTTGCTGTCCAAGTGTACCATGAAAAAATGTTTTCCGCGGGGGGTTTAAAATCTAAAAGGGTCCCAGGTTTTTGTGCAGCCTCCCTGGACCTCTGTGCACATGTGGCCCCRAGGGCCCTTCAGACTTAGGTGCGGCCTCCCAGAGCCTCCATGTGCACGTGGCCCTGAGGGCCCTGCGGCCTTTCGTGGGCTTTCTCTATGTCTTTAAGAGAATGGTAATTTCTTAAATTCCTGCGTGAGAATTTAACATTTTACTTCAATCACAAGTACTCATCTGAGTCTTAGAAGGTTATTAGGGGGTGTAAGATCTCATCTAATTTTGCTTGAAGGAAAAAAATAAATACTGTGAATATTAATTTTGTGTGGCTTCCTGCCTAGAGAGCTGCATGTAATGTTTGGAGTGTTCCTCATGATCTGTGGAAAGACCATACAGTTGTACATAGGTACAATTTGTGCTGGCCAAGGAGTACAGGGGTAGTTGCCCTGATTGTATATAAGTTTTAAGGATTCCTTCCTGCTTACTCAAACTGAGACATATTAGAGCACCACTGAAGAGCATAATACAGATTGGCAAAAAGCTTGTAAACTTGTAGTTTAAACTGTTGTAACAATTAATAGTTTTTAACAAATATTACCATTTGAGGTCATACATCTTAAAAATGTGAAAGCGACCAACTGCACTGTAGGAATATATTCTGTTAGCTGTAGAGTTTATGTAAGAGCTCTAAGACAGGAATATGCCTCTGGTTCTTGAGCTGTTCGGCAGGCTTTCCGGGATGGCAAAGCCAAGCGCCTTGCTTTTGTTCCCACAAGTTACAGGTGAAGCTGTGTTTTCAAATCTCTCTACATAGTGCACCCTACCAYATGGAAAGGTTCTAGGAGAACGTTGTGAATACTCAGAAATGTGGCTCTGCCTGGGAGCGTGCTGGGCAGTGGGAACCGCACTTGGCCACCAGTCCCTCAAACAGAGACAGAAGGTGTSGCTGCTGACAAGATGTCCCACCTGAGATGAGGTTCTTGGCTCTCCTCCCACCTGTAAGGCCTAGAGGACTAAGTTATCTCACCACTGTATTTCTAAATGTAATAAAGATTGTTAGCGGTAAGAACATCAAATTTCACAGAGGAAATATTTCAAAAGCTCAGAATATCTGYATTAATACTTTGTCTTATTCTTCCCTTAACAAGAGGGACTGTTTACTGGCCAGCCCCAGGGCAAATAATATAAACACAGTATACAGACTCTAGAGAGTACATTTTTATTAGAATATTTTTTTTGTCTCGTCAAAAACTTTGTTTTGGGCGAATTCTGTCTGCGCTGGGAAAGAGCATTCTTTGATTTCAGAAAGTATTTTACAAGAAGGAAAAGATGTAGGAAAGAAAAATTAGACGACTGAGTGCAAAATAGAAGTATAAAATTTATTTAAAACCACCCACAAAGTTCTGTGTAATCAGGAATGATACAATTTGTAATAGTCTTTTTAAAAACTCATGACAAGATTTAAAATATATTTTCAATTACAGTATTCATTTAGCCTTATTCAGTTAGGACAATAAAAAAAAGGAAAGTTTACGTTCTAAACAGATGAGACACACAAGAAAAATAGAACAGAACAGACAATTTCCACAACAACAATTTTTACATGTATGTTTCAATACTAGTATCAACATTTCAATGCATCTTGCTACATAAACATGAAATCATGTACAACAACTGCTTGCACCAAAAAACATAGCTTAATTAGATCTTTCAAGTAACATGCAGTCACAACTCACAAGTCTTCAAGTACTGCTGGTAAGGGTTCCCTTGTCTGCAAAGAAGATTTTGAGGTTCGGTTCCTCAGCCAGTGCAGCTCCCCACCGCCCCACGAGCCCTGTGGGGCTGGGCTCAGGCGCACCGGGAGAGAACCAGGCCCCGAAAGTTTTCGGGAAAGGAAGCAACTTTTATACTTTCCCCTGTAATTACTGTGACAGAGTGAAGTGCTTTTTCTTTCTGATTTTTTTTTTCTCCCTGTACATAAACTTCTGTTGCTTTAAAGTTAGTTTTGTTTCAGATCTAAATACAGTAGGTTGGTAACTGAAAAGAGTCCAAAACCTCAAATTAAGAAATAAATAACCAAATGCATCCCAAAGAAAGAGGGAAAAAAAGAAAGAATTAAAGAGAAAGGAAGAAAAATAGAAAATCCTGGGGATTTGTGTTTGCTTTGTCATATTATACTTTTTTTTTTTTAATAGCAGTGAAAAAAAAATCATTAGCCATAATACTTTTATATGGTGTGCTCTTACAAATTGTTATTTTTTTATGATACTAAGTTTGGAACAGTATTTATGACTTGGTGTATTATTGTCACAGTATGAAGAGCTGTCCCCTTCCACACTGAGCATATAATCTTAGAATTAAAGCCTGAAGCACCTATGTTTGGATTACTTAGAATTGTCTTTCTTTAATGACGCTGGGATATCAGGTTTGCTCTTCTGGCCTACAGTCATTTTTCAGTAGCGGTAGGGACTCGAGGTTCTGACACTGACTTTTGAGTTGCATGGATTTGGACAACTGGCATTTACCAAGCTTGCATAAAACCTGTTTTCAATAGGCTTGTCCAGTACCACTACGGTTTATAAAGTTACAAATGAAAATACGAGATTTTTTTTTTTTTTTTTAAATCAAAAATGTTATTTTCTCTTTTGGGAGAGATGTTTGGTAACTAGGTGGAATGGGGCTAGATGCTCATGTAAGGCCCCATTGAGGCGAGGAAGCTTTGCACGACTCGAACACAGAGCAGGGGCAGTTAGGGCGGGCAAAGCGCTGCCCGGCAGCGGTGTCTCCCCAAATCCCCCCCGCTGCAGCAACACCCGCAGCGCCGCACACCCTGCCGGGCTTTAGGCCAGCAAAGAAACAAGACGAGTAGGTTCCCGCAAGCCCATTTTATGTCATCAAGTAAAAGGGAATCAAATAATGAAAACAGGTAATTATCACAAGAAGAATGCCCAGAGTTGATGTTATTTAAATTTTGCTAGTTTTCATGATTTTGAGGTACAAATCTTTTACGAAATTCTCTTTGTAGACAAGGTTGGAAGAAGCACAGCCATTATAAATACTTAGAACCTGTTACAGAATAAACCAGACCAGTTTCCTTTGAACCTGCATTTCTCAAGTAGTAAGAATTTGGATGTTACTGGCCAATGTGTGTGCAATTGGGATATCGTGAAATTCGTTTCTGATGATTGTACCGATCAGTCTTTTGGCAAGGGCTCCCATTTATACTCCTGGCCTTTTACACCAGTGTCAGGGTATGGGGATGTTGCAAAGAATGGATATCCATTTAAGGCCCCTTTAAAGGCATGCTAAGGACAGTAGGATAAATGAGAGCCAGGCCCTTTATTCCCATTTTTTTTTTTAACACACCCAAACCCTAGACCTTTTTCTTCCTCCCCATTACAATATTATAATAAAAATACAGATATACATGTAAAATATTTATCCATCATTCAATTCACAAAACTTCCACGACAGTCATTGAAAGGTTCTGCGGCACCAACTGCAGGAGGGGACGYCAGGCGGCCGCGCGTCTTTGGCCAGCAGGTCCC